AGTTAGCCTCCACCACAAAGTGAGACTGTTTTACAAAAAAAGAAAAGTCTGAGGGTCAAACTACAATTTTCAAGGGAGAAGAAAAGAATGATTATATTTTTGTTTTAGCAGTGACAGTACCAACAAGTAGTAAGAGTGTAAATTCAGGTACCAAATAGTAGAAACTTTAAATCTGTGAATATAGGTAAAACTAAGAGTTAAGCTTTGTATGAGCTTATGTATATTTGATATCAGTACATTATGGCCTATGCTGTAATATCTTGGAAATAAATGTTTTGCTTGATTTTGTAAGGGTAACAACAGGAAGGAGTATTTCAATTTAAAAGAATGTAGTCTATACAATGTTAACAACACAGCATCACATCAATCAAATAGAAGCTTTCCTGTCTCAAAAATAAACTAATGCATGGTGGTGCCTGCCTGTAATCTCAGCACTGAGGAGAATAAGATAGAAAGATCTAGAGTCTAGACCCACCTGGGTTGCTTGGTTGAGTTTGAGGCCAACCTGGAATAAATAAGTCTCTCATTTCCCTCACCCTCCATACAGACCAAAGTACTAATAGAAAGAAATAATCTGTGAGTGTCATGAATATGTAAAATGTTCATAGTGAAACATAGTACTATATTAGTATTTTGGAGATTTTCTTCGGTATATATATGTATATATAGATAGATACTGCTTGTAGGAATAGAGTTAAAAAAAGACTATAAATTATGAAAAGTACCAACTGTTTCATTTCATGAGGTGGACTAGGTGAACTAGATTTAAAAGTTGCCTCCACAGGCTTAAAGATTAATTAAAAGTAGTATTATCTAATTTAGTGGTTTCCAACTCATGTATTACTAAGAAAGGGATGTCAAGGGCCAAAGATCAAGGGTCTGACAATACTGCTTTGCCTTGCTGGAATACTCAGTTCACTTTCTCATACCATGGCTGTGCTCTGAGGTCTGAATTATGTTTTATAAGGGAATAGGGGAATTTTGATGCTTAAAAGATCTGAAAAGTGACCACCCAGAGATAGATAGCAACCATTACATAGATATTGAAGGAGATACACTGAAGTTAAAGGACAATGGGAATTCAATTTCCATCACAGATTTTTGTACTTAGTAACTAACTACTCACAGCAATTATCAAAAAGTATCCAGTGTTAGGATGTACTTTTCAAAAATTTCCTTCCCAGAAACTTAATGATAAAAAGAAGATTTCTATGGTGGTGTTCAATGATTTCAGTACTAATCACAGTAATACCTAAGTACTGACATAGAGAAAGTACTGGAATCCTTACTACAGAAAAGATTGGGTTAAATTCAGGAAGCCAGCAGCCAGGGCTCTGCTATTGTCCCAACAATTCCTGTTTCAATCACAATAGCTCTACTTCCACATTGCATACAGTGTATGTTTGTAAATTATGTTTACAATAGAATCCTCTAGGATCAGGGAAAGACTCCTACCCTGTGCTTGAGTGGATGAGACTGGAGCTGTTAGAGTAGGCATCATCTTACTTGAGCTGATGATGACACAAGCAGCGTCTTTTGCTCCCAGAGTTCCTGATAGCATATTTCCTAAAGCCAAAAACCACTAACACTGACTCCTTTACTGAAAAAGAAGCATTTAGAATCACTCTAAAGCTGGAGCTGGGAAGGTGGCTCAGTGGTAGCATGTTTGCCTCGCATGCATGAGGCCCTGGTTTCGATTACTCAGCACCACATAAGCAGAAAAAGTCGGAAGTGGCACTGTGACTCTAGAGGTAGAGCGCTAGCCTTGAGCTGAAGAGCTGAAGGACAGTGCTCAGGCCCAGAGTTCAAGCCCCAGGACTGACCAAAAAAAAAAAAAAAAAAAAAAAATCACTCTAAAGCACAAAGTAGAGTTTAGTGGGATGTCTGACTTCTTAAACCAAATGGCTTTGAATGAAGATAATGATTAATAACAAAGCAAATTCAGTATACTAAGACATACTTAGGAATTACCAATATAAGCTTTTCCTATTTGATAAGAAGGCAGCAATGCTAAGAGGAACAGGAATAAGTGGGGTCAAGATAACATTGTTTAATTGAGGCTTTAATGAGAAAAAACCCCCACAAATATTATCCCTTAAAAAAAAGCCCCAAATATTAGGCAAGTTTCTTTGCTTATCACTTCCAATCCTACTATTCTAATTCCCCGCTGCACATAATCACAATTTCCTGATTACTATTTATCCTTGCAGTCCTTTTTCAATTAAATGATGTTTTTATAATTTATATAAAAAATTAGTAAAAGCTATCTCACAAAAAAGAATAGAGGAGAATTGTAAGGAGACAATATTTTCAAAATGTTTAGGTCTTCAGTGTGTTGCAGAGTTAAGACCTACTGTAGGACCACAGACAGCTCTACCCTAAATTTAAGCCCAATAGGCAGGCCTGATTTGTTTTTGGGGTAGAATTGCTTGTCCTATGATAAAATATTTTAGTATTCTTTTAAAAGCAGAGTAGAAAATAAAATTGTAATATGTTCTTGCAACATTTTTTTTTTTTTTTTTGCTGGGCCAAGGTCTTGAACTCAGGGCCCAGGTTCTGTCTCTAAGCTTCATTGTGCTCAAGGCTAGTGCTATACCACTTGAGCCACAGTGCCACTTTAGGACTTTTCTGAGTAGTTTTTTGGTGGTAAGAGTTTCATGGACTTTCCTGCCCAGGCTGGCTTTAAAGTGTGATCCTTAGATCTCAGCCCCCTGAGAAGCTAGGATTATAGGCGGAAGCCACTGGCTTCTAGCTGCAACAACTTTAATACAGCATGTTAAATTAAATAAGCTTTTAGGTCTTTGAAATGCACTCTCCCTCTAGCTATCTATGTATTTGTGTGTGTGTATGTATGCGCGTGCTGGTCCTGAGGCCTGAGCACTGTCCTTGAGCTTCTTTTGCTCTACCACTTGAGCCAGAGTTCTACTTCTGGTTTTGGGGTAGTTTAATGGAGATAGAAAGTCATTTTAACATATCCTGACTACTTATTTAAAATGGTTTGACCAGGCTTATGATTTCAAAACATAAAAAGGACATCTGAAGAGAGAGAAGGGCCATTTGGAGACAAGAGACAAATGTTCCAGGAGTCTGGAGATGAAGATCTCCGACTCAGAACTCCATCTAATTCTGAGCTTCTGCCACTTGAAGGCAGTATCTATGAGAAAAGGACTCATTTGCCTTGTAGTTTTTGCACATTCCCCTACCCTCTTTCTTCTTTTTTGCTGGTCATGGGGCCTGAACTCTGGGCCTGGGCATTGTCCCTCAGCTCTTCAACTCAAGGCTAGTGCTCTACCACTTGAGCCACAACACTACTTCCAGCTTTTTCTGCTTATGTGATATGCTGAGGAATTGAACCTAGGGCCTCATGCATGCAAGGCAAGCACTCTACCAAGTGAGCCACCTTCTCAGCCCCTTCTTTTTCTTCTACTTTTTTTGTCGACCGTGGGGCTTGAACTCTGGGCCTGGGAGCAGTCCCTCAGCTCTTCAACTCAAGGACAGTGTTCTACCACTTGAGCTACAGCACCACTTCCCATTTTCTGGTGGTTAATTGGAGATAAGAGTCTCATGGATGTTCCTCCCTGGGATAGTTTTGAATCTCAATCCTCAGATCTCAGCCTCCTGAGCAGCTAGGATTACAGGTGTGAGCCACCAGTGCCTGGCTTACCCCTTCTTTTATGTGGTGCCAGTGCTGCTCATGCTGGGCAAGTACTCTTCCACTGAGCTACCCAACCCCCTTCCCAGACTTGTAGCTCTCAATAAAGTTGCCAGTGCCATATATATAATAAGTAAGTACACCAAGACAAATGAACTACTTTACTCTGAGGTCAATATTGAAGGTTCTACACTACAGGATGTAGTAGTTGGCACTAAGGTTGCTGACATGTGTACTTTCTTTTCTTTTTCAGTCTGAGACCAGGACTTGAACTTAGTTCCTGAAGATTTTGCTTACTAGCTGACAATTTATCAACTGAGCCATGCCTCTAACCGCAAGATTTGTACTTTCACGAAAAACAACAACAAACAACCAGAACAAACTAATGTTATTACATGCTTCTATTTATATTCCTACACTGAATTAATATGCTTGATTTCAATCAAAATCGCCTTCTGGTAATCAATGAGTACTAATTTATTTGGATTTCCACAGCAGGAGACCAAGCTCAGTTTTATTCATATGCTATTGTTCTAAATCAACAAAATATTAAGCACAAACAAATTTTCATTATTTCCTAAGTTGTCTATTCTTATATAGGTATAGTTAGTAAGCAAGAGAATCTTTAAAAGTGAATTACAATTTTAGTCAATTTACAAAACATTACAGAGAATCACAGTCAAAACAAAAGTACTTGTTATCAGATGTATTTTTGACATAATTCTGAATTACTTCAAATGCCCTGAAAAAAAAAAACCTTTAAGTGATTTTTAATTACACAGATCACTTATTTCAGCTCACGTAACTTATCACTGTTAATTCTTTGTTTTGTTTTGTTTTTCTGTGATTTTTATATTTGGCAAGACAAAACTGGAAGAAAGATTCTATTTCTGAATTACTGGCTTTACATAACATGTATGCTAAGTGATTTCTAGATTGAGCCATATTATTCTCAGAATGCAACTCCTTTGATACACAAAAACTTAGCAACTTTATATAGTCCAGTTTAATTTTAACTTTCAAACAATCATCTCAAATTGCAAGTTCCTTTTCTTTTTAAACAGTGCTAGAGAGATAAAGGCTTTGGACATTCTAGGCAAGTACGCATTGTACCACTGAACTATGTCCCCAACCATCAATTTGTAATTTCTTTACAGAAATGTTTTACTTATAAAAGGAACAGAAGTTGTTCTTAGCTACTAATGAAGTGTAATAACTAATAAAAAAAAAACATTTTCAATTTAAGGTATAAATGAACACCTTGTAAGGATGAGACAGGTGTTACTGAAACTTCAGATTTAAACAGTGGCTAAGCATTTAAAAATAAGGTGAGAAACTCCATACTCACATGTTTAAAACAGGTAACTGGAGCTGCTATAAAGCTATTGCTATTGATGTAGTTACCCCAGCTGAAGCTTTCCAGGGAGACTGCTGAAAAAAAATTAGATATAACTTTCAATCCTTTTATTTATAAAGAGGCTGTTATTGTTAAAATGTGAAGGAAACAAAGTGAACTTATCCCATTAAAAAAGTTTTCATTTTTCTGCAAATAATGAATAACTTGGCTAAATAACGTGAGCTTTTAGCTACAGGTTGAATATTTCTCTGAGCTATTTAGGAGCTGAGATGTTTTAAGATTTCCATCTTTCGGACTTTTAAACATTTGTACAGAATTTACTGACGCACATAAGCTTCAAATCTTGGCTTTCAGGTTTGACTTTTTTGGTGTTGGTGCTTGTGCTTAATCTTCAAGTTCTTATTTGGCTCAACACTACCTGAACCACATCTCTACTTCTGCCTTTCTTTGGTTAATTGGAGACAAGAGTCTCAAGGACTTTCCTGCCTGTGCGGGTGTCAAACCACAATCCTCAGATCTCAGTCTCTTGAGTAATAGAACTACAGGCATGAGCATATAGGCACCCAACATCAGGTATCTTTATTATTATTTTTTCCTTTACTTTTTTTTTTTTTTGTGGTGCTGGGAATAAAACTTAGGGCCTTGTAAATGCCAAGGAAGCATTTCATTCTACCATGAAGCTACCTCTCCAACCTAGACTTCAGGTTTATTTTTATTTATTTATTTTTATTACGGATGCTCCACCTAAGTTTGCAAATGAACTTTCTCTTTCCTCTCCACTGCTCCCTCTTTCTCTTTCCTTTTTTTGTGCTAGTCCTGGGACCTGAAGCCATCCTTAAGCTTTATTTGCTCATAGTACTCTACCAACTGAGCCACAGCTTTACTCTTAAATTTTGGTGGGGAATTTCCTGCCCAAGGTTGGCTTTGAATTACCATCCTCAGATCTCAGCTGCATGAGTACTAGGATTACAAGCATGAGCCACATGCACCAGGTTCAAACTGCAGTTTCTTAAATCTTCTATATGCAACACATAATCCTTGGGAAATGAGGTGTAAGTTCTCTAGTTAGGGGAGTGAAGAATAGTTAAAGGCTTGGAATGTGGCTTAGTGGTACAGTGCTTGCCTAGCATGCATGAAGTTCAATTCTTCAGTACCATATAAATAGAAAAAGCTAGAAGTGGTGCTGTGGCTCAAGTAGTAGAGTTCTAACCTTGAGCAAAAGAAGCTTAGGGACAGTGCCCAGGCCCTGAGTTCAAGACCCAGGACTGGCAAAAAAAAAAAAAAAAAGAACGGTTAAGTGTGGAGTGTAACAGTCACCACTGTAGCGGGTTTCTGCTAATATAACTACTCAAATCTTTTTTGTATCTCAGTTAAATAGCTACCTATTATCAAGCACCTGATACTTTCACTAAAGTTTTGTTGTATTGTTTCTGTTGTCAAGCCCAGGTTGGCCTTAAATTTGCTATGAGTTCCAGGTGGCTTTGAGCTTGAGATTCTCCTGGTTCACACTCCTGGGTGTTGAAATTATAGATGACTGCAGGTATGCACAGCTTTATTGTTCTCTGTGATGAGTCTGCTATGTTGTATAGGCTGCTCACAAGTGATTGTCCTGACTCACACTCTAGATTAGCTAGGACTATCGATGCTGCCACTAGGCCTTCGTTTTACTATGGCTCTTAACTGCCTTATGATATAAGGCAAATATAGCCTACTTATCCTATCTGTACTCAATTAAGAATCTTCTATTAGAAATAGTTACTCCCCTCTCTCCAATCCCTCTAATAGTTGCTAAATGCTCCCCTACCAGAGTAGTACATAAAAAGTAAATAACAGCCGGGTGCTGGTGGCTCACGCCTGTAATCCTAGCTACTCAGGAGGCTGAGATCTGAGGATCGCGGTTCAAAGCCAGCCCGGGCAGGAGAGACTGTGAGACTCCTATCTCCAATAAACCACCAGGAAACCGGAAGTGGCGCTGTAGCTCAAGTGGTAGAGCGCTCGCCTTGAGCTGAAGAGCTGAGGGACAGCGCCCAGGCCCAGAGTTCAAGCCCCACGACCGACAAAAAAAAAAAAAAAGTAAATAACAAACCAAGTAAGGAGAGCAGTATTAAGGAGATTGTTACTACCACTGGAATTTGTATATTTTAGAATCATTTATGGAAACTAAAACCACCCCCAGGAAACCTAGAGCCATACTGTGCTAATAGAATATAGAAGTAGCTTAGTCAAACATAAATCGGATTTAAAATGTTACTATTTTTAATAGGTGAGTCATTATTAAATATTTCACCTGTTGTTAATATTAACCAGTATTACCTGCTTTTGTCTTTGCTTGATTTTGCAAGGTAGCTTGATACTGAGCATAAGCAGCTAGTTTAGCAACTAAAGGTTGTTTCTGAAGAACTTTTGCTTTCTTTGTTGGAGGCTTACCCTGAAACAAGAAAAGTTAAGTAAATAGGATTCTTTTTCATCTCCCCACTACCAAAATTTTGTATGCTACTCATTCTGCTTAAGTAAATCCAAGGGTTTAGAAAATTATTAAAGCAGAGGAAACATACAAGGAATTTTAACATGAGATATGTCTTCTGGAGTTCTGCTATAACATAGATATCTAATATGGGCAGCAGAGCTGGCACAAGACTAAAACAGCAATATGCAAATTAATATGTTAATAAAAATTACATCCCATAAATGTTAAAATATAGGCTTGTGGTGGATACTTGACTTCTTCTTACAGTAGACAGAACCAGTGTTATTCACTCATGCAAGTTGCCAAGCATTACTATTTATATGGTAAGAGAAGATAATTTGATGTTCAAAGAGCAAGTGACTGAGGTTTATACCTTTAGTGCTAACGCAAAAGATCAATGACAAAATGATCATGGCCAAATTCACAGTGTGACAAACTGCCATCCATTTGGGTACAGACCACTGCTCAGGATCTTTAGGTACTGTCTATCTGAAATATAGAAATACATCTAAGTGATGTATTTCCGTAATTTGGGGGATTAAAAAACCCTTTTCATGCTATGTAATGATCACAGTATATTAAATGAGAAAAAGGAAAAATGTGACCATTCAATAAAAGATATTACAAAAATCAGTTATGTAGTGCCTTGAAAAAGCTGTTTAATGTAGTAACAACTGAGTCAGTCAAAACTCCAGGTCATTATGGAGGCACTACTAGAAACTTAAAGATAACAATTCATTCTGCCCTATGAATATTTTCAAAAGGTTAGTTGGATTAACCAAACACACTTGGTCAAATCAAATGAATTTACTCCAATGTACAAAGTTGCTCTTGCCTAGTAATGCCAATGGCCTGAGTCTGCTCGGCACTAAACACACAAAAACTATAACATACTCGGCACCACCCTCATCCACGATGAAAGCACAACCTCCCAATCCAAAAAAAAACCAAAGAACTTAAAATCAGAGCCTAAGTCCTTCCCCCAGAAATGTTAAAGATTCTACCTTGATATTAACTCATAAGAGGGTGGGGAGAAAATAGCTTCACTTTTGGTATTTAAAAAGGTGATTATTGTATTTACACTTATTTAGAATAGGGTAAAATTTTTATTTTACTTATATAAACAACTTACACTTTATTTCAGATAGCATGCCTTGCCCATTTAAAATATTTACTCAATTTTAGAAAACTAGAATTTACACATTTACTAAAAATGTGGGACATGAAATGACTGGCCAGGTAGGTTGAGGTGGAGCACAGTGAATCACAATCAAATGATAAATGGTAAAAGCTGGAGAAACAACAGATATAAAGAATAAGAAGGTTTCTGTACCGTTACCTGAAGTCTGGCCAAAATGCTTGCCTTCTTGGAGTTTGACGAATAACTTCTTGAACATGAAACGCTGCAGAAACGTTTTGTTTTAGAATAAAAAGCATCTCGCACACCAACCATCCCACACATCTCACAGGTGGCTAAAGAATAAAATAAAAACATTGGTGTTATGATTATATAGTAATATCAAATTTTATCTACCATTTTAGTAGTTTCTCCATCTAGATGTTTTTAATATTCTGCCTTGAAAATTTCTGTTTTTAAAAATATACAAATGATAGAAAATCCTACAAAAAAGTTGGAGAAAACAGTTACATAATTTCACAGTGAGGAGCTGTAAGGACCTGGACAATAGCTGAAGGGTTAAGGGGCCAGGTACTGGTTGGCTTATTCTTATAATTCTAGCTACCTTAGACGGCTGAGATCTGAGGATCAGAGTTCAGAGCAAGCTGAGGCAGACAAATCTGATTTACTAGCAAAAAGCTAGCTGGAGTGATAGTGTGTTAGTCACACTCCCTCCCCCCCACTCCCCCCAAGCTCCTGCTCATACCCATTCATAAGGCTTGAACTCTGGGGCCTGGGCACTGTCCCTGAGCTCTTCAGCTCAAGGTGAGTACTCTACCACTTGAGCCACAGTGCCACTTCTGGTTTTCTGGTAGTTAACTGGAGATAAGAGTCTCAAGGACTTTCCTGCTCCAGCTAGCTTTGAACCCTGATCCTCAGATCTCAGCCTGAGTAGCTATGATTACAGGCGTGAGCCACCAGCACCTGGCTAGTGTGCTAGTTTTGAGCAGAAAAAGCTAAGGAAGAATGAGGCCCTGAATTCAAACCCCACTAACTGACACACATACAGATACATACACAAAAGGATTAAGTGTGTTAGTGGCTTTCACCTGTAATTCTAACTACTCAGGGGATGGTTCAAAGCCAGCTCAGAGAGAAAAATCTGGGTGAGTTAATCTCCTAAGTAACCAGCAAGGAGGTTAGAAATATGGCTTAGTGGTACAGTGCTTACCTAGCATGCCTGAAGCCCTGGGTTTGATTCCTCGGTACCACATAAACAGAAAAAGCCAGAAGTGGCACTGAGGTTCAAGTGGTAGAGGGCTAGCTAGCCTTGAGCAAAAGAAGCTCACGGATTCACAGATAGTTGCCCAGGTCATGAGTTCAAGCCCCAGGATGGGCAACATAAAAAGTGAAACATTATATATATAAAAAAATAATCAGCAAGAAGCCAGTTTGGAGGCATGGCTGAATTGATAAGCATACCAGTACAGCAAGCAAGCTAAGCAAGTATGAAGCCTTGAGTTCAAACCCAGTATAAGGAGTAGTAGGTGTGTATGAAGGAGTGTGTTAAGATTTGGTGGCACAAGCTGTAAACCTAATATTGAGATCCACCTAGCTTGAACCAAACCGACGAAACCACCAAAGGTCAAAAGCCATACAACCAAATAGAAGTCACTAACACATTCTTAGTATTTACCATGTACTAGACATTATCATATGTGTAATTTCCAGGCTTTGAAAAAAATAAAAACAAAAGTGCAATATAATTGAGGATTAGTATGAGTTTCAGTAGTCTTTAAGTAGACATTTGAGGAAAGAGCTACAAACAGTGATGTTGACAAACAGCATAATCCTTGACAACTATTACATAACAAGACAATGACTCGAAAAGGACAATTACATAATCAAGTTAAAAACATACATAGAAACATGAGCTAAGAATGTGGCTTAGTGGTACACTGCTTGCCTAGCACACATGAGGCCCTGGGTTCAATTCCTTGGTACCACATAAGTAAAAAATAAATAAAAGGAAAGTATTCTAATAAAGTCATAGTTAAAAAGAAGTAACATGGCAATCAGATGAATTAATATCTCCACCCTAACTTAAACTGAAGGGACTTGTAGTATAAGTAGTACTTATAAATATACAGGAAATCATGGAAAAAAGGGATAGAAGATTACAAAGATAAATGAAAGGAAAAAATGAGTATATTGTAAAAACTCTAGATTAATAAAGGTTCATGACCATGTAGATAAAAAAACAAAACAAAACAAAACATAATCCCAAAGGGATTTATGGATCCTTGCCAAGAGTTCTGTATGTTAAAATACAACTCAGCTAAATAAGACACACACTTTATCAGGCAGGAATAGGGCCTTATTCTGTGTGGTTCATCTCTTTCCCTTAGGATCTGAAACAGATGTTAGCACAGATAAAATCAATATAACTTTCCTTTTGTGGTAAGGTTACCAGAACATGGTATAACCAAACTATGGCAATAAAATCTACCAATAGCAAAGAATATATTTAGTAAAACTGTGCATCTAACTCTGGCAACTAAAACATGAAGTTTTAGTTGGAATAGAAGATATCTAGGTAGGCTTTTTTCTAGGTGTGGTGTTAGGGGTTTAATCTAGGGTCTTGCCCATATAAAGCAACTACTCTATGACAGAGCTGCACTGCCTCAATCTCCTAGATAGGTTTTAACTGGTGTGATGATGATTTCACATACAGGGTCTTTTCATTTTACTTTTGTAACCATGGTCTCATTAGGTAGTCACGACTGGTCATTAACTTCTACCATTCTGACTCTAGTGAGTGTGTGTGTGTGAGAGTGTGTGTGTGTGTATGTGTGTATGTGTGTGTGTGTGTATTGTACTAAGGCTTAAACTCAGGGCCTCATGTTATCTCTTGGCTCTTTTCCCCTTAAGATTGGCAATCTACCACTTGAGCCACACCTCCATTTCCAACTTTTTGCTAGTAAGTTGAAGACAAGAGTCTCAGAGACTTTTCTGCCAAGACTGGCTTTGAGGTGAGATTCCTAGATCTTGAGTAGCTAGGATTACAGGCATGAGCCTCTAATAAATCTTGTAATTTGTTTTGTTGTTTCTGAGACAGCTCTTGCTATGTAGCCTAGCAAGGCTGGAACTCATGATCCTCCTGCTTTAACTCAAGTGTTGGCATTATACTACTAGCTAAATATAGTTGTCTTATATGGTCTGTAGAACTCTGCAGTATACAACATTCTAGGAGCTTTTTAATAAAAGTCTAGCATAAGACCAATACTGGCAGGATTACCAAATTTGTAAATGATGTAGCATCAGAAGATTAGCTGACATAGTATTCAACATCAGATAACACAATTAGCACTTTAAATGTTCTAAGCTTTGGTCACTGGTTGCCCATGCCTAGAATCCAAACTTCTCAGGAGGCTGCCAATCTTGAGTCAAAGCTAGTCTAAGCAGATAAATCCTCCAGACTTATTTCTAATTAGCCAGCAAAAAGGCAAAACTGAAGGTTTGTTTCAAGTGGTAGGGTGACTGCTGTGAGTAAAAAGAACTGAGGCCTTCAGTTTGTTTTGGTTCCACTGCACGTGTGCACTTATATATTGGTTAAGAAAAAGGCTTCAAACAGAAATTCAAAGTCCTCAGGTGGATGCCAGTGGCTTATGCCTGTTATGCCTACTCAGGAGGCTGAGATCTGAAGATCAGGATTTGAAGCTGGTCCAGGCAGAAAAGTCCATGGGAAACTCATATCTCCAACTAACCACTCAAAAACTGCAAGTGTCACTGTAGCTCAAGTGGTAGAGTACTGGCTTTGAACACAGAAAGGCTCAAGGACAGTGCCCTGCCCTGAATTCAAGCTCCATTAAAAAAAAAAAAGAAAGAAAAAAGTAAGAAATGTAAAGTACTATACTTTCTACTGGAATGCTGGGCACAGGTGGCTCTTACCTGTAACCCTAGCTACTCAGGAGGCTGAACTCTGAGGACTGGGGTCCAGAGTCAGCCTAGGCAGAAAAGTTCCTGAGACTCTTATCTCTAATTAACCAGTATAAAGCTAGATGTGGAGGTATGGCTCAAGTGGTAGAATACCAGCCTTGAGCTAAAAGCCAAGTGAGAGCACAAGACACTAAATTCAAGATCCAGAATTCTGTAATCTCAGGAGGCTGAGATCTCAGGATTGTGGTTTGAAGCCAGCTCAGGCAGAAAAGTCCCTGACAATGATCTCCAATTAACCACAAGAAAACTGAAGGGGAGCTGTGGCTCAAAGTGGTAGAGTGCTAGCCTTAAGCAAAAAGAGCTCAGGCCCTGAGTTCAAGTTCCACAACTGACAAAAAAAAAAAAAAAAAAAAGACCCAGTACCAGCATCAAAACACTACTACCAATGAACACCCCTCACCCCACACTCCAAAAAAAGCCCCCACACAAAATAGTTTACTGGAAAAGCACAAGACTGATATAGTTTATTTGGTAAAGAGCAAAGAAAAACCATTATTATTCAATATTGTTTTCAAAAAAAGCTAGAGCAATGTTTCTGGCTTGAATGAAAACAGCATCCTGAACAAGACAGCCAGGCTGAGCTATTTACCCTAGAAGCTGGAGGAGTGTTCTAGGATATGGACTTGCAGAGGTACAACTTCACAGTGCCAGGTCAGTCAGAAGGACAGTTATGTTATTACCACACAGGAGAATTAATTCCCTGATGAAAGTGGGCAATGACTTTGAGAAATAAACAGCTGGCCTAACTGAGGCTCTGTGATATGCTCCAGAGACACCTTAGAGCCAGGTCTCCAGTGCAAACAGTCATTGAAACAAGATTACAAATAGTCCTGCAGCTTTATTAAATTTAAAATCTGGGGCCGGGAATATGGCTTAGTGGTAAAGTGCTTGCCTAACATGCATGAAGCCCTGGGTTTGATTCCTCAGTACCACATTAACAGAAAAGGCTGGAAGTGGTGGTGTGGCAAGTGGTAGAGTGCCAGCCTTGAGCGAAAGCAGCTCAAGGACAGTGCTCTTGAGGATCCTGAGTTTATGCCCCAGGACTGGCAAAACAAAAACAAAAAACTGTCATCTTTTTCATAAGGCTAATAATTTTTTTAAAACTTTTACGTATTTTCTGGCGTGCTGGGGATGGAAACAGGGAGACTTGGGCATGTTGGGAAGTACCTTATACCACTAAGCTATGCCCTGAGCTCCTTGTGAGGGTTTTTTTTTTTTTTTTTGTCGGTCATGGGGCTTGAACTCTGGGCCTGGGTGCTGTCCCTCAGCTCTTCAGCTCAAGGCAAGCGCTCTACCACTTGAGCTACAGCGCCACTTCCGGTTTTCTGGTGGTTTACTGGAGATAGGAGTCTCACGGTCTCTCCTGTCCGGGCTGGCTTTGAACCGCGATCCTCAGATCTCAGCCTCCTGAGTAGCTAGGATTACAGGCGTGAGCCACCAGCGCCCGGCCCTTGTGAGGGTTTAAGAGCAAAATTAAAGCCAAAAGCCAATCAAAACAAGTCAAATTTGGGTCAAGATAAAGAATACAAGAGACACTAAAGAAACAAAAATGTTTTCTAAGTTGGACTTATCACTGGAAGTATTTAATAAGAAAACTTCTGAGGAACTGTCCTGGTGAAAGCTCTATCTAACTTTCAGTTACACAAGGATTTTTTTGGGTGGGTCCTGGGCCTTGAACTCTGGGCCTGAGCGCTGTCCCTCAGCTCTTCAGCTCAAGGCTAGTGCTCTACCACTTGAGCTACAGTGCCACTTCCGGTTTTCTGGTGGTTTATTGGAGTTTCATGGACTGTCCTGCCCGGACTGGCTTTGAACCGTGATCCTCAGATCTCAGCCTCCTGAGTAGCTAGGATTACAGGCATGAGCCACCTGGCTTTACACAGGATTTTTATTTAATTGAACTTACATACACCTTCAGTTTCTCAATAGCCTTTTTTTTTTTTTTTTAGCCAGTCCTGGGGCTAGAACATTAGTGTGGTTGCTGTCCCTGAGCCTTTGTGTTCAAAGCTTGCACTCTCCAACTAGAGGAGCCACAGCTCCACTTCTGCTTTTTTGTTGTTAATTGGAGGTAAGTCTCAGGGTGTTTCTGGTGGCCAATATATGGGTGCTGGTAGAATAATCCTTTGTCTCTCAGCCATGATGGTAGGGGATGAGATGGCTTATCTCCTTGGCAGTGAAATGAAGGCTTTTTCTGGAACTGGGGATCAAACTCAGGATGTTGTACTTGCTAGGCAAGCACTTTGCCACTGAGCTAGCTACATCCCAGTCTGTCTCACAGCTTTTCTACCCAGGATGGCTTCAAAATGTGATCCTCAGATCTCAGCCTTTTGAAATAAAAAGCCTGTTGCTTTTTTATCTTGTTCTACTTGCCTTCCACTGTAAGGAAGGTAAAAATCAACCAAACACAAACTCAGGATGTTATATATGATAAATTTGAAGGTCTCCATTTACTTATTTGGAATTCTACAGCTGGGCATGCTGGTAGAAATGGGAGGATGGAGGTTCAAGGACAGCTTTGGCAAAAAATTAGCAAGCTCTCATCTCAGTCAATAAATTAGACGTGATGCTACGTGCCTCCCATTAAGGCTACTCAGGAGGCCAAGGGCTGGAGGATTGTAGTTTGAGGCCAGCTCTGGTAAAAGTCTCTTAAGGGTGTGTATTTGTGGGGGCTACCTGAAAATTAAAGCAAGAAAGGATTGGGAGTGTGGCTGAAAATGGTAGAATTGCCTACCTAGTAAGAGGAGGCCCTGAGTTCAAATCACAATACTGCCAAACAAACCAGAGTTCTCAGAAAAGGAAATGACAGAAGAAATGGGATGAAAATAATGCCTTAAACATGACGCTATGTAACTCGTGAAAAGTCTGAATACTCACCCATGCCAGATTTACCATCTGGGTATGTGTAGACCTGTCCATTGTTTTTGATAATTGGGAGACTGGAAGGGAGAGGAGCAACTTCTTCTTCACTCTCCTCAGAACTAGAGCTGCTACTTGTGTCCTCACTGCAGCTGTCATAGCCGTCAAACATCCCGGATGAGTCTGCCTTCCCTTCTGGGTTGTGAAGAATGCTCTGTCTTACAAGTAGAAGAAACCGGGAGCATGTGACACAGTACTCACATACAATCCCCTTTCAAAGACCTTACCACAAATTCTGGGAAATGAGATTTGACAAATGAAAACTGGAGAAATCATTGATTTTTATACTAAAAAGCTGCACGTTTTTGGGAAAACACAGTCCTCTATAAAGCACAAATTAGCTGTTATTGCCAGATAGTAAGATGTATAGTGATAGAAAGCAACCAGGGGTTGGGAAGGTGGCTCAGTGGTAGAGTGCTTTCCTTGCATGCATGAGGCCCTGGGTTTGATTCCTCAGTACCACATAAGCAGAAAAAACTCGAAGTGGTGCTGTGGCTCAAGTGGTAGAGTGCTAGCCTTGAGCTGAAGAGTTGAGGCACAGTGTCTAGGCCCAGAGTTCAGGCCCACGACCAGCAAAAAAAAGAAAGCACAGCCAATGTGAATGTGGTCCAGAAGACTATCATGTAAAAGTTTTATCTTCAATTAGGCATGTCACTTAAAAAATATTGTAACAAAATACATATAGATGATTTAACTTGTCTTCTGGCTCTAAAACAGTAAATTTCTATACCAGAAATATAAATGGTTTTAAAAAAGATCGTTATTGGAAGTGGCACTGTGGCTCAAAGTGGTAGAGTTAGCTAGCTTTGAGCAAGAAAGTTCAGGGACAGCATCTATGCCATGAGTTCAAGTCCCATGATGGACAAAAAAGAGAAAGAAAAAAGATCATTTTTGTTGCTAAGTGCCAGTGGCTCACACCTGTAATCCTAGCTACTTAAGGGGCTGAGATCTGAGGATCACATTTCAGACAGTGCAGGCAGAAAAGTCTGTGAGACTCTTATCTCCAATTTTAAAAAGCCACAAGTGGAGCTGTGGACCAACTGGTAGAGCAGTACCCTTTGAGTGCGAAAGCTGAGAAATAGCACACAGACTCTGAGGTCAAGCCCCAGACTGGCACCAAAAAACAAAGAAACAGACCAAACAATCCCAAATATTCATTCTTAACAATTCTAAAAGAATTGGGCAATTTTTATTTTTAGGGACCATTTTGGCTATATTTCTAGCTACTTAGGAGACTGAGATCTGGATCTGATAAAATGTTCATGAGACTGTTAACCAACAAAAAGCTGGGCAAAGTCGTGCACACCTGTGCAGTCCAGGCCAGCTGGGAAAAATATGACTTTACAGCAAGAAGTGCTGAAGGCATGCCTCATGTGCTTGCCTAACAAGCTGGAGGCTGGGTTCAAAGCCCCTCCAAAAGGATGAATCTGACTCTCAAGGTAATTAAAAAGAAAAGTTTTAAATTTTTACAGATGACAGATTTGCCACTGATTATTACCTGTGAACTTGAGTAACTTAAAGAATTTCTTTTCCTATTCACTTAAAATTCACTTATTCAACTTATGGGCCCACCACATTTCTGCCATGCATCTGTGCTAATACCTACAGCACATTCATATCTCAGTTATTGAAGGTTAAAGATAGTGGTGGTGTACAGGGCAGACACCACCCTCCAATCAAGGCCATGTGAATCAGAGTAACTAGGGTTGTCACATTTGAAACTCAGTGCTGACTTCAGTCTCAGTAAGACCCTGAGGATCAACTTAAATATCCAGTATTGGGGGCTGGGAAGGTGGCTCAGGGGTAGAGTGCTTGCCTTGCATGCATGAGGCCTTGGGTTCAATTCCTCAGCACCACATAAGCAGAAAAAGCTGGAAGTGGCACCGTGGCTCAAGTGGTAGAGTGCTAGCTTTGAGCTGAAGAGCTGAGGGACAGTGCCCAGGCCCAGAGTTCAGGCCTCACGACCAGCGGAGGGGGTTGGGGGGGGGGGATCCAGTGTGGGAATATTCTAGGCAAAGGAAAAAGCAAGAATAACCAAATAGCCTTGGCACACTGAAAGGCCAGTGTGGTTTGTGTCCACTCAGGTGGTATAGGTGAGGTCAGAGGAGAATGTAGTGGCCATATCATGAGAGTCCTATGGGTCAGCTTGTGTAAGTTAATTCCTCCTGAGGCAGTGGGAAGATATGAGGAACCAATTTACCACAGTGTCTGGCCTTCACACCTAACAGTCATAGTAAAATTTTTAAGTTCTATTAGATTCACATTGCTCACTTTCATGAAGCAATGACTTCTGAGATTCCATGTAGGCTTTTGTTAATTTTTTTTTTGTCGGTTGTGGGGCACTATGCCTCAGCTCTTCAGCTCAAGGCGAGCTCTCTACCGCTTGAGCCACAGGGCCACTTCCGTTTTTTTCTAGTGGCTACTGGAGATAAGAGTCTCAGGAACTTTCCAGCATGGGCTAGCTTTGAATGGTGATTCTCAGATCTCAGCCTCCTGAGTTGCTAGGATTACAGATATGAGCCACTGGCGCCCAGCCAGTTTATTATACATGCAGCTTGGTTAGCAAATAAGGCACATGTACTGACCCTTAATGTCAACACAGAATATCTTATTTTAATCCTACTTTCAGAGAATAGAAACTTGAAATTTCAGGTCAAACAATTACAAACAACTTAGTTTCAACTATTGTTAAGTTTTCTGTGTGTGCTGTGTGTTTTTAAAGTACCATGGTCAAATGCATTTAGGAAAATTTCCATACTTCAAGGTCATTTGGAACCTTTAATATGTATCTAAATATTATGATTAAAGGAAAACTAATGGTATCTTTTCCCCCCAAATTTTCTTTTTTTTTGTCGGTTGTGGGGCTTGAACTCTGGGCCTGGGCACTGTCCCTCAGCTCTTCAGCTCAAGGCGAGCGCTGTACCACTTGAGCTACAGCGCCACTTCCGGTTTTCTGGTGGTTTATTGGAGATAGGAGCCTCACAGTCTCTCCTGCCCCGGCTGGCTTTGAACTGCGATCCTCAGATCTCAGCCTCCTGAGTAGCTAGGATTACAGGCGAGAGCCACCAGCGCCCGGCCCCCCAAATTTTCTTGAATGACTAATACTGGCAAGAAATACTTGACCTTTTCCATGATCCCAGAACACTTAAAAAAGATCACTGTGTAACACAGGGAACAAAGCCTGGGATGCACCAAAATATCTGAGTTTTGTAGGGATGAATATCCTCATAGACTCATAATTCATACCATAGTTTCTAGAAAATTGAGTTTTATTTAGGAGTGCTGCATCTCTTACATTAGAATGATCTACTAGTGAATTATGCAGATGAGAACTGTAATTGACTAGTCTAGTGTAAAACGTCCCATCCACTTACTATGGAGGAATCTTTGTTTTGGCCCATCCTGGGGTTTGAACTCAGAGCCTGGGCATTGTTCCTGAGCTTTCATGCTCAAGGCCAGCACTGTACCACTTGAGCCACAGCTCTACTTTTGGCTTTTTGTGGTTAATTGGAGATAAAAGTATCACAAGACATTTCTAGCTGGACTGGCTTTCCTCAGATGTCAGCCTTCTGAGTAGCATGAGCTACTCAGTAGCATGAGCCACTGGTGCCTACCTGGAGGAACTTACATTTGCATCAGACTAAAGGTCCTAAAGGAGGCTGCAACTTTAATGAGAGGGTAAGTGGGGGGAATCCTGACTATACGAAAAGGGGATCTACAAGGGAGTCTTTTCTGTGCATATTCCAGGTGGAGAGAATTCCCTGGGATTTTGTAATCATGGGCTTGCTCTCATGACTAAGTCTGAGGTGGTAATTTACCTGCCCTCTACGGTCAAAAAAATCTCCTAAGCAAGAATTTATAGTGGTTGCAGAATACTTGTACCCCTCAACCACAGAAGCAATACTAAATCATCAGGGTCCTCAGCTTTCCCAGATTTTATCGTGAGTGCATAATCAAGTATCAGTCACACACAAAATCTACTATAGGCAAATATCAGCAGAAACAGATTAAGAATGACAAATACTTCAAGCAATATAAATGCCAGAAATAAAACTGTATGTGAATCATTTGAGAGGAAATGAAAATATTACTGAAAAATAAGCAAAGGCATATTAAAAAAAAGTTCAAAAGACTAGGCCTGGTTCAAAATGGAGAAATAGAAGATAAATGTTAAGAAATACTCAACATTTGCTGGACCTAATCACCTGGAAATGTCCTCATAGATACCCAGAGGTATCTGCTTTACCTCTAGGCAGTTCTCAAATCAGTCATTTACAATCAACATTAATCTCACACAAACCTAAAATCAGAGATATTAAAAATGACATAAAATTTCAAATATGAAAGAGATTATCAACAGATATCACCTCTCTACAGACATTTTATCCTAGTTATCAAATGGACAGTGTAAGTATTACCAATGATTCCATACTAATAAGTTTAATAACCAAGCTGGGTGCTGGTGGCTCATGAGTATAATCCCACCTACTTAGGAGGCTGAGATCTGAGAATTGTGGTTCAAAGTCAGCTGAGGCAGTAAAGTCTGTGATATACTTACCTACAACTAACCACTAGGAAACTGGGAAGTGGTATTGTGGCTTAAAGTAGTAGAGTTCTAGTCTTGAGCAAAAGAACTCACAGGTACAGTGCCCAGTTCAAGACCCATAACAAAACAAAACCCAGGATGAAATGGCAAGGCAAAATTTACTTCTGCAGAAGGGTGTACCATCAGCCCCAAATCTGACAAGCAGGTAGCCGGTTCACTATTTATCCTTAAGGTACTAGGCCCTGCCCTTCTGCGCAAATTGGCTGAGCTCAGGTTTGAGACTCTCTAGTCTGAAAAGGGTTAAGATATATTTACACAGGGAGACATTAGAAGACTTTGAAATAAGATTAGCAGTATACAAGTAATCTCAAAACATACCCATTTCCTCTATTTCTTCAACAATCTGAAGTGTATCTTGAGATGTGGATACAGTTAAAAAAAAGAAACCCACTTGTAGACAGGTACCTGAAGATACCTGAATTAGTTAAAATTTATTATTATTTTTGTTCATTGTAGGGCTTGCTCTGGGCCTGGGCATTGTCCTTCAGCTCTTCAGCTCAAGGCAAGTGCTCTACCACTTGAACCACGGCACCACTTCCGGTTTTCTGGTGG